GAAATAGGACTGGGATGCAGGCGAGTGTAGAAATGGAGGCCTGGGGTGCAGGCGAGAGTAGAAACAGGACTGGGGTGCAGGCGAGTGTAGAAATAGGACTGGGATGCACGTGAGTGTAGAAATAGGACTGGGATGCAGGCGAGTGTAGAAATGGAGGCCTGGGGTGCAGGCGAGAGTAGAAATAGGACTGGGATGCAGGCGAGTGTAGAAATGGAGGCCTGAGGTGCAGGTGAGCATAGAAACAGGACTGGGATGCAGGTGAGTGTAGAAAAAGGACTGGGATGCACGCGAATGTAGAAATAGGACTGGGGCCTCGGCCCTCCCCACCGGGGCGGCCCCGTGGAAACCCAGGCCCTCGTCCCTCGTGTCTCGCCAGGCTTCGTGAGCTTCGACAACCCGGCCAGCGCGCAGACCGCCATCCAGGCCATGAACGGCTTCCAGATCGGCATGAAGAGGCTCAAGGTGCAGCTGAAGCGGCCCAAAGACGCCAATCGCCCGTACTGAGCGCCGGCGGGAGCGTCCCCCGGGGGAGACCAGGACTCGCACAGGTAACCAGGGGCTGCCGGGGCGCGGGGACGGGGGGTTTGGGAGGGGACACCGGACGGACCCGCCGCCTCCTCCGGCCTCCGGGGTCCGGACCCTCACTCGTGCCTTGGACCCGCTGCGCTCGGCTCGACCTGCTCCCCGCCCCGTGCTTACGGGGTAGGTGTAGAGCTGTGGTTATCCCGGTAGAAAGGAGCATGGCCATTCCCCCAGCGCAGGGCCAGGAGGGGCAGGAGTGAGGGATCCTTTCTGAGAAGGTGAGGCGAGCCCTGGGCCTGCGCCTCTAGGTCCGTACTGGCAGTCCTGTTTGCCAGAAGACCCTGGTGTGAACAGATGGCAAGCTCAAGCCGGGACAGTTTGCGGGCGGAACAAGTTCTGCCGGCTATGGCTGTAGCCGCCTGCTGGGGCTTTCTCCCAGATTCCCTGGCTTTCCCTTCCCCGGTTCTGCCAGGACGGCGGGCCGCCTTTAGACACTTGGCCCCGTCACCCCTCCATTTCCCCATAGCTCAGTCAGGAAAGGAGGAACAGAGCTTTGTAAAGGGAACTATACCAAAAACCCAGACAGGCTCATGAGACACAAGCTGAGGAAGGTTGACGGTGTAGCGCAGGGATCCCTTGCCTTGCCTACTTTACCTGGGTCATGAGGAATGAGTAGTTGGCACCTTTTCTGCTCAGCCTGGGTTCTGCCTAGCAGCTGGTAACATAGTCAGCCACACCTCTTCCAGGCCAAGTGTTGCCCTGGGCAAAAAGCTTCCTGGGGAAGGGATGGGGGAGGGAGGAGATGTCCCAGTCCATCAAAAGTCCACCTTCAGCCTGGCTCCATTCATTGCTGTCCACTCCTGCAGTCCTAACCTTATTCACAGATGAAATGAAGGCCTCCTTTGGGCCCTTCTGGCTCAGGCTGCACTCCCCCTTCTTCCACTTGTTCAGCAGTACTGTGCACCAGGTACTGTGTTAGGTACTTTGGACTCAGCAGTGAATAAGACTGAGGAGGAGACAGACAATAAACAATGACATGATCAATCAATAAATGATCAGAATTGTTGGCTCCAGTTAAATCACAGTCAGGGTAAGCAGCAAAAACTTGAAGAAAGTGAGGGAGGAGCCATGCTGCTATCTGGCTTCCTTCCTCTGGAAACAGATAGTGTGAAGTCTGCACAATGAGGACAGGGGTAGGGTGTTCTAGGAACAGCAGGAGGCCAGGGGAGCTGGGCCTGGGACAGTGGGAGGGGAGGAGACCTGAGGGTGAAAAGGGCCCTATTCTGCCAGGCCTTGCAGGCCAAGGTGTGGACTTTAGTTTCTCCTCTGAAATGGGAGGGGGGGGGGGGGGCATTAGAGAGCTCTGAGTAGGAGAGGGATGTGATTAACTTGCATTTCAGTGGGATCACTGGCTGCTGTGTTGCTAATAGACTAGAGGGGGATGAAGTAGAGGTCTACTGAATCGATCATTCAGTCCTGGGTGACAGCAGTCGATGGGACATGAAGGAGTTGATGTCTAGATGTGTTTCAAAGGATGCTGTTCATAGTGAATTAGAAGTGGGTGTGAGGGAAGGAGGAGCTAAGGATGACTCCCAAGCTTTTGGCCTGAGGGACTGGAAGAGCAGAAGGCTTGGGAAAGATCAGGCATGTGGGAGTTAGACATTCAAGTGGAGGTTCCAAGTCTGGAGTTTGGGAGGGAAGTCTCAATTTTCCCAGCAACCCCTCAAATCGCACCCCTGCCCCACTGGGGTACAGACCCCAGCTGATCACCCTCCCTCCCCGTAGCAGAGCAACACCACTGCTGAGAGCGGGGGTGGGGTGGGGACGACTTCTCTCTAGGGGGCACTCGAGCCAAGCCTCTACTGTCCACAATTCCCCATCCTGCCCATTTCTGGCTGGTGTGCCAAGGCACTGGGCTCAGTCCCGGGGATGCAAAGATGAACAGGTCACCATCCCTGCCATCATAGAGCTTCTGGCTATGAGCTTGTAGAAACACCAGGAGGGGTCATTTACACAGTAGGGGAAAGATGCTTCAGTGAAAGCAGCTCTTTCTAGATATAGAGCACTTTTTCTTAACTAAGCATAGTTCTGCCATTAAGGCATGACTTTGGTCAAGGTGCTTCCCCTCTCTGGATGTCCATTTCCTCATTAATGAAACCAAGGTCTTGGAGTCAATCAGAGGATTTGGGGGAGGGGAAGGGGGAAGGATGCACTCCAGGGTTCTGCCCTGAGATCCCAAAGGGCCCCTGTGAGTGCGTTTTGACAGCTGCTCCCCTGAAAGTAGCCTGTCTTAGCCTCCTTAGTCCAAGCACGAGTGGAACCTGTAGGTCAGAAGAATTCCCAGGTGAAGGGGTAAGGGAGGCAAGTTTGTTGTTTGGGACATAAGGAAGGAAGTGGCACACAGGGTAGAACCAGCTGGCACTCATAGTTGGGGTAAGGGCTTGGGAAGAGTGGTTTAGAAAGCAGAGTGGGTTCTTCTGCGAGGGAATGCAAAGGCCAGGCAAGTGAGAAGCACAGTCCTCCCCACAGTGCTTACCAGATGGACATAAGGAAGGAAGTGGCACACAGGGTAGAACCAGCTGGCACTCATAGTTGGGGTAAGGGCTTGGGAAGAGTGGTTTAGAAAGCAGAGTGGGTTCTTCTGCAAGGGAATGCAAAGGCCAGGCAAGTGAGAAGCACAGTCCTCCCCACAGTGCTTACCAGAAACCAGGCACTGCTCCGATAGATACCAGCTCTAAGATAGAACTGCATAGCTAAGACTACCTATAAGGCAAGTGGTGTTAGTATTTCCAATCTACAGGTAGGTGGAGCACAGAGAGACTAACTTGCCATCAGCTAGTGAGTGGAAGAGCCAGGGTTCGAAGCCAGGATCCCGATTCTTCAAGTGAGGAGATGAGTTGGAGCTTCCCAGACCTGATTTGAGTTTCCACGTGCTGGTCAGTGATCCTACTGTCACATCTAGAGCTGTGCTCTGTGGGTCACCCCTGTAGGCAGAGGTGCAGCTGCTGCCTAATAATGAGCGTAGCCAGATGGTCACATGCAGAATCCTGGGGGAGGCTACCTAGGGACTGGCTGAGTGTGAGGAATGAGGGCATGTATGAGAAAGTTTTCTAGAGGGGGCTCAAAGGAGAGGGGCTGTGTGCTGTTCAGGTTTGAGTCCCAGAACCAGGGCGGGGCCTGGCACTGATGGGCAGCTGAACGAACACTAGGAGAAGGAAAAGGAGTCCAGCACTGGTGTGGGTGGAGGGGAGCAGAGTCCCCAGGGTGTCCCTTGGTTGCAGTTGCTCTGGCTGATGCCTGATGGCAATATACTCCTTAGTCCCCCCTAAGCCTCTTCTCCCATGCCAAAGAGACCGCTAGCAGGACATCCTGGGGTGGGTAGGGGGAGATTAAGGGCTTTTGCGATGTGTTGGAGATGCAGGGGAGGATGGCATTTCAGGACTTGGAGGGCATGTGATGATCCCTGATCTGAGTGAGGGAGATGTTCTGATATTGGAAGAACCAAGAACCCAGCTGGTGTGGGCAGGCAGGGCGGGGGTTGTTGGGAAGGAGAGTCTGGGGATGCTTCTGTGAAGGCTGAGCTGAGGCCAGGTTTGGGCTCAAAATAGTCACTGCTCAGCTACTGCACACTTTATCCACAGTGACATGTTAAGATCCCAGGCCTCACTTCCACTCTCCTTGAAGGAAAATGCCAACCCAAGAGTAGAAGCCCACTAGTAGAAACCTGGTGGATTGGAAGCCCTGCAGATAACCTGCAGAGGCTTTGGCACAGGCCTGAGTGATGCAGGGGAGCAGGGCATGGGGAGCAAGCTCATGGATAACCATGAGGAGGGAGTGGCACTGGGGACCCCTAAATTCCGGGGTGGGGGCAAAACACCATAAAATGGGGAGGGGTAGAGAAGACAACCCAACGCTGAGTAATTTGGTGATGCTGATAGAGAAGGGAACTCATTCTCAACCACTTAGGCTCCAGCAATAAAGAAGGCAGAAGAAGATGGACAGTCTGGAATGCTGGCCCTGGTGGGGCACAGGGGTGCAAGGGTAGAGAAGGAGGAGGCCGGCAGAGCAAAGTGAGAGCAGCAGGGACTGGAAGTGCTGGGCCTCTGCATCCCCTTCTCTGCTGGACCCTCCCTGCAGGGCAGGCTTCCATGCAGCCCTTTATGGGTCAGAGCTGCAGAAACTTCCAAAGGCTTCACAGGCCCAGATGCAGCCTTGTTTGGCCACACAGGCCACTTTGGGAGCCAACCAAAGAGTGTGAGCAAAGGGTGTGAGGCGATTGTGAGATGAAATCAGTAGTGCCAAACATGGCTATAGAATTCCAACAACATGGATGTAATTTACACTAAATCTCTAAATGAACTAAACGCGTTCTTTTTCGGAAGCTTCTGAGGAAAGAGATTTGAGGCAGAGCGGGAGGGGGGAGGATGGAACAGTGGGTGCTCTTGCAGTCAAGAGACCCTTCTCCAGACCGATGGCCATGTGGGAGGGCTCAGTGGCTGTCAGTGTGGACTGTATGTACTGTGGCAGCAGAGTTTCATGGATGGACCCCACAGATACAACGGTCACCTTAGCCAGCTTCTGACCTACCGCAAATCAGGCCACCCTGACAGGCTCCCCCTGCTGGTCCATAGGCTGAAGCCACCGGAAGCTGGGGGGTGGTGAGGAGGGCTCGGTCCCTGGGGGAGAGAGAAAGAACCAGGGGTGATAAGGAACAGAGAGCTTGCTCCCTGAGATCTGCTTGCCGGCGGCCGAGGTGGTTTGAGGGGCTGTTGATTTTTTTTCTGGCCCCCCTCACCAAACCGCCCATGCCCCCCAACCCTCTTCCCACCGCATGATGGATGCCCTTAGTGGCCCTGTGTGAGGTTCTGCTACTGTTCATGGTGTAATGTGTCTGCATAAAGAACCGTGCGTGTGTATGTGTGTGCGTGTGCGTGTTGACGTGCCCATGTCTTTGTCTGCTGGCTTCCTCCATCTTTGAGTTCTTTTCAGTTCTCTTATGATTTGACTGCTGTTCTCTCATCAGAGCTTTTAGATTGATGCTGTGGTCTGGTGCTGTATAAATATTTTTCTTTTTAATTTCGTTTTAACTTCTTCCTTGCCCTTCTTCACCCTCAACCCCACTCTCCCTGCCCTCCCACACTCCCCTACCCCACCTGACCTGTCCCCACCTCTTCCTCCCCCCCCACACTCTCTTGTCCTCTCTCTCTTTCTCTCTCTCTCTCTCTACATATATAAATATATATATAAATCTTTTCTTCTTTTGTCATTCAATCAAATTCCAACAACCCAACCAGGGCCAGTCAAATCCACCACAGTCTCGCGCTGAGCTAGGAATAAAGTTCACGTAATCACATGAGAGTGGAGAAAAGTCCCCCATCCGTAAGTTCAAATCAACTCAAAGTTCACAGTGTGACATGATGGCGTCATGTAACAAGGCTAAGAATCGGTTGCATGACAATTGCCGTCAAGTTTCGTGGAGGTGCTGTGATTGGAGCGTTTTTCTTGGATGTTGTATCAGTTGATGATTGGCCAGTCATGATCACACGTGCATTTTCTTGACTTTTGTGCTGCCACAATCTTTTTTGCTGTGCTCATTTTCGTTTCGTTCTTGGTGCTTGCAGTGGTTTTACTTTCTGTTGTTTGGTTTTTCTTGTTCAGCGTTTTTTTATGCTTCTCTAGATGTCACATAGAGAAAAAAACAAAAGTACAAAAAAAATAGTAAAAATAAAGATGAATTCTGAATTATCAAACATGGGATCATTTAACTATGCAAACCATTATTTTTTTTCTTAAAAATAAGGAAAACATCTTAAAAATATCTATGCGTGGTTGATTTACTTGCACTTGAAAATATTGTGATTTTATTTTTTTCTAGAAATTTGGGGGCCTTTTTCAATTGACACTTTCCTAGGTCTGGTCTTTTCCAGTTAGGCTATTTTAAATCTCACTTCAAAAGGAAAAACAAAAACAAAAAACAAAAAAAAATCTATAGTAACAGAATGATAAAATAAAAAAAAATTCTAAACCAAAAACTAGAGTACAAAGCCAGAGGCCTCTGAGAGAGAGCCCAGTAACAATTGTAAGGTTTGTATTGTAGCCACTTCTGCTAAATTCAATGTGGGGAGGGGAGGCGGGGAGCTGGGGGTTCGGGAGGGCTTTTTTGGTTGGTTTGGAAGAAACATACTGACAAAAGCAAAATGCACCTTTTTGTTTACAACTGAAAAAGGGTCCTTGACAAGTGTTTTTTAATTTTATTATTATTTTATTTGGTGTTGTAATTGTTTAGACTGCTGTGTACGGTTTGCTGTTTGTTGAATCAACAGTGTGAAAAACCTGCCAGCATGGATTGATATACGCATGACGTTGTCCCCTCAAATGGGGGCTTTGCAGTTCTAACTTTCTTGATGTAACCAGTCACCCCCATGTATAAGTGGAAGCTGCTTGCTAGAATGGAGATGAGTCTCATTTGTTAATTCACAACAATTAAGCATTCGCCTTCTGATTCTAGTCAGATCATGATTTTTTTTTAAAAGCAAAATGAAATACCAAAAAGCCACCATTCAAAACAAAATCAAGAACTGTCTGAGTTCATTTAAGTTTGATAATTAAATCTGTTCTGACCTTTTTTAGGTTTTCCCATCCACTCCCTTGAAGTTCTGAATTTCCTCTAAATTCGCTGGCATGTATGAGAAAAGTATTATGTGTGTGTATGTGTGTATATATGCATATACATACACACATATCCATGTATATCCACATATGTGCAGGTGAATATATTCTACACATATATCCAGATATACATATATATACACAGCCTCGCAAATAATTACCAAACTTGGGAAAGAAGTGGTTGGCTGGAAACTGGGCAAGGATTCTGCAAAATTCAAGTCATAGATTGTCCTTCTTTTCAGGGCTGGGAGGAAGGGGCTGGGCTGCTGGATTTTTGCTATCTTATTTGCTAGGCTTCTGTATACATATTGTATCTGGGCTAAATCCCTCAGAGACAAGCTTAATTCTGAATTTATATCCTACAGTCCCAAATTCTTCCCATAGATCTAAAAAAAAATGCAAAAAAGACAACATTAAAACAAAATAACATGAGACCAGACGGGGAGGCTGAAGGGCTGGGAACTGGGAGGAGACGCTGCTTACCGATCCCAGGGCTTTTCCAGCCCATGGGTACCTGAGGCAGACTGGGGCCAGCGGTGCGGCAGGGCCTGGTCCCCAGGGGGTGGCTGGAAGGCCCCACTGAGCATCTCTATCTGTCATTCCTTTAGCTATTTAGGGACCAAAGGACCAAACTTTTTATTGCAGATGTGTAGCTCTATGTCAAATAGAGCAGGAATGGAGGACAGCCTCCTTCCTGCCTTATGGCTGTTCTTGAAACAGCTTAGAGCGATTCTATGAAAAATGTAATAAAAAAATTTTAAAAAAAAGAAAAAAAAAGGAAAAATAGTGCTTCAATGCTTTTAAAACAGCAGGATATTAGTTCTTTGATACTTTGAGAGGCGCTTTGATTACCCTCATTCAAGTCTATGACACTTTCCTATGGTTTTCTGTATTATATGTCTAGATGGAGCTGTTAAGATGAACAAATTGGTGGGTATTTGGGGAAAGCAACAAAAATGTTAAAACTCATTGACCATAAAGTGTGAGAAAACAAGGAAGGGAAAAAAGGGACTTACGAGGCAAGGAAATTGTTGTGAAAAGTCTGTAAATGCTTCTAACTCTTCCCCCTCTTAAAATCCTAATAGTTGTACAGAATTTTAAAAAGGAAAAGTTTAAAATACCTATATAATAGAAGAAAAATTAGAAGAAAGCAAAAAAGAAAAAAAAAACCTATAGAAGTTAGCGTTACTGCTAAAACCCCAGACGTTGTAGGACTGTACTTTTGTAGAGTTTAGACTGAGCATCAATCCCTTTTCCCTGTGAGTGCTGCCGGACGCCGTCGTCCCCGAGGGCCAGGCCGGACTCATCCCAGACCTGCAGGCTCCTGGCTGCCCGTCGCTGGTGGAGGCCGCACCTGGGCTGGGAGGGGCCGCCTCGCCCGCCGCCCGCCGCGCTGCCGCCGCCGCCGNGAGGAAGGGGCTGGGCTGCTGGATTTTTGCTATCTTATTTGCTAGGCTTCTGTATACATGTTGTATCTGGGCTAAATCCCTCAGAGACAAGCTTAATTCTGAATTTATATCCTACAGTCCCAAATTCTTCCCATAGATCTAGCCATCCTTCAATCCAGAAGTAAAGGAACCCAAATCGAGAACCCTTTCTCAACAACTAAACCTCAGCTACAACCATCACCATTAGACCTCCCAGTGGTTTCTTACTCTGAATAGAAGAATAAATTTCTTTTTAATGTATCATGATCATGACTAATTCTCATATTGGTCTCTCTTCCTTCCCTCCCGCCATCTCCCAGAGCTCCCATCCTAACCCCTGAGGCAGGTTCCTATTGGTGTTTGGATGTATTTTGTGTTTTCCCTCTTGGCTTAATCAGCCCTGATTTTCTTCATTTTAGGGCAGGATGCTGAACGGGCTACATTAAAAAACAAACCTCTCTCTATATATATTTATAAA